CAAATGCGAGCAACTGCCTTGGCTGAGTTGACGCCAGAAAGAATACTCACAGGAAATCGGCAACATGTCCCAACTGCTAAGGCTGCCAAACAGTTGCGCTATTCTGTAAATCCGAGTAAAGACTATAGTATTGCAGAACGTTTTATAGAAGCAATACAACAAATTAATGAAAAGGAAAAAGCAGAATTTATTAAAAGAAATGGACATGATGCAGTGCAAGATAGACAACTCACTGGACATATACAAGCACCCTTACAGCTCGATCCACTTGCAGTTAATATATATAATGAAGCATCTCTCCGATACTATCACCATCTTGCACACAACAATCCTGGTATATTTATAGATTATTGATACGGTTAGTCATCTGTTGCATACACACGTATATATATACACACATATTAAATGATACTTACACATTTGTTGCATTAATAGTGATGTTTTCAAACTCTTACGGGAGAAACCCACGGAACCTAATGAGAAAATAAAGAAAGTTTTAAATGCCATGATAACATTACCTTCCGGCGATTCCCGAGTCGATGGAGTGGCGCCTCCAGTATTGGCAGCAGAGTTCGTCACAACGGATCTATCAGCCGAATTTTTAGTAACAGCGTTACATTATTTCCGCCGAAAAGAGTATGACTTATTTCGGTCAAACGTTGTCCCATACCTGATACAGTGTGACTGTGCACGAGGAATACTTCGCGCTGTACTGACGGAATATAATGATGAGTCTTTGGATGAATATTTACAAAGACTAATGATGGACGCCATGTCAAACAAGGAATCGGATCCTACAAAAGTGATTATTGCATGGTGTTATGGTCATTGCACAAGGTATTATAAAATAATTAATTGTTTGTATGCGATTAATAACAAAAACATTTGATTCTCACCATCTTGTATGACTCTGTTATAATAGGGCAATCCGTTCACATATACGTAGCGGTAACTTTCGTTGTAGGGAGCATGTCAGTAAAAAAAATCTCCTAGTTGCTGCACGAAGAATTTTTGAATGCGTACGAATACAAACAACACTACCTGAAGCCGAAAGAGAGGCCAAACTATGGGACTGGCTGTTGGGAACTGAACAATTCGACCTAACAATCAATAACGTCAATCTTGATATGGGAAATCCTCTCTTAACCCGAGCCAAATGTATGTTGGAGGATGAGCTTACCGTTTGTGATCTAACCGAGAATGAAGATCGAGAGGAGATAGAAATTGATACCTTGGTAGTAGATGGTGAAGCAGTGAGTCGTGAGGTCTCCTCAAATAATGACCATTGGATACTGTATGTAAACGCTATACAGTTTCTTAAAGTTCGGAGGGAACTACATGACAACCAAATACGGTATCTATTACATGTACCATACCTGCACATGCGGTTTACGGTAACTCCTAACGCAAACCGACGTTTCAACAATCCGCTATATAGTCCAGAATTGAAGCAGTATTTCGCACGACAATGGTGGGGATATGTATTTTTATGGGGAAATATTAATAAGAGAGTTGCGGAGCGTACCAGAAGAACGACAGCGACAATTGAAGTACAACACAAAATACTGAAGACGTTTGATATTACCAAAAGAAATCTGGCGATTGATGAGTATCTCCTCCTACGCTCATCCGTAATTAGTGCGAATCAACTAATTCTGGCCGAAAAGATACTGTTCAAAGGATCTATAATGGAGCTGAAACGAAGAAAGTTAGAAAAACCGGATGACGACGAAAAATGGTCCAAAAAGCCGATCAAACTGGATGCCTCCAAGTTACGGTTCCTTGACGCATTCAAAGATGTTTATAATGCCTGCAAAACAACGCAGACAAGATGTGCACGGGAGATTAGAGAAGTTTCAGGTGGCAGGAGCAAGATACACCAATCTGTAGTGTCTAGAATGTTATGCAAAACATACTTTCCCAAAGAGCCAGTGACATTACAAGCTATTCAAAATTGGATGACGATGAAAGGGAAAATATTTACGGAGTCGATCAGCAATAGTTATGTAAATAAATGTAACGTAATAATGGTTGTCGTTAATTTAATTAATAAAATTGCATTTCACTATTACTATCAGTTTACCCGATCAGTTATAAGTGCATATTTGCGTTAGAATTATGGTATTCTCTCATGCAATTACAAACGTATTTGGTTTAATATGTCTATTACGCAGTTACAAATTTTTATATAATCTTGCGAGGTAAATACTCTTCATATTCACGATGAAAACAGTTATTGTCGTTCATATTTTGCTCATATTTATAATAATAATACATTTCATATTAACTAATTGTTAGGCCAAAATAAAAAAGCTAACATAAACAGTTGAACTTCGACTAAATGATTTAAATATGACTGCCTTGTTATATACGTAAATATGTTTAAATGTAAAGCATCCTTACAATCAATGCATTAACGAATATATTGTACATGATTTGACAGTTCAACTATCTATTTTGTAGTATTGTTTGGTTCAAGTTTAATACAAGTCGTTAGCCATAATAATAATAACCGGAATTTTCGCTGGTCATAATTATGATGATCATCCTATTTATGGGAATATGCTGTACGACGTTAAAAGTGTGGGATAAATGTGTGGGATTTCTTGACTATAATCAACGGGGATGGACACTGTATTCTTTCACTTCACGTATTAAAGTTCATAATGAGCAATTAACTATCCGATGCTAAAAATAGATTAATTAGTCAGTCCAAAAGATATAAAAGCAGCGTAGAAAAGACTTAGCATCGGTGTGTTCTAAGTGTTCTCAGTGTTCTAAATATTCCATTTAGTGTTCGCTACGATATTTCCTATCGAAGACGTTCGATACCCCTTTATATTTAATTCTTATTAATAAACGAGTATCCATTTACTCCGAAACGATAATTCTTTCCTGAATAATCCGTTATATTCGTAAAGCATTAATCCGTATAACGGCAAGATCGGTCGTAATACTTGTCTCGCGATCGATCGAGTGGCAATTAGGATAATTAGGCCCCAACCTACAGACCTACCGAATTAATCCACCGGTAGAGAGTAGTTTCGATTCTCGAGAATAATTAATTATCTAGGACTAGTGTGTGCCACTCCCGGACAGGTATACTAGTTATGCCACAAAAATTTGACAGTCCCGTGACTTCCGAATGATCTCCGATGCGGAGACTTTCCTATGGTGCGCAAAAGTTTCCGTTTTTGATAGATCTGCAAGCACCCCAAATTTTGGTTTCGTTTTTTGATACATCTGCGGCAAAGTCACGTTTTCGACAATCCCCAGAAAATTATCCGATGCACTATACGTGTCAAAAAAAAGTCCCGTTCCAGATGAGTTGCTGTCATCTGTGTTCTCAAATTCCTAACGGAATTATAACATAAACAAAGCCTCCTGCATCGATTATTTAGCTTCATAATAATAATCCTGGTCGGCCTTTATCTTGTCCACAATTAATAA